CTACTACTACTACTGCTACCACCAGTACTGCTGCCTGCTGCTACTACAGCTATGCAAGTGCTTGCATCACCACCATCACCAGCACCGCCGATATCACCACCACCACGGCAACAACGAATTGCCACTGCCACCGCAACTACTCGCTTCGAACAACGATTCACTACCCAAGAATCTGCACTAGAACCACTAGACGATATAGCTCCCTAATGTAATGTAGGAGGAACGTTGCACTAATCTTCCTGTCCTGTTCAGCCACATCGTGGGGCCTTGACTCGAGGCTTGGCCGCCGAAGTTCGAGTCCGGTCACCGTTTGGCTTCAGCGCCTTCACGCTCAGCTTAAAGTCTGCGTGACTGCCGAAACACCTTCTGCACACAGTCGCATTGCAGTCGCGCTTGAAGTCCCGCATAAATTTCAGGCAGGCCACCATTTCGTCCAAGATTCGGTCCTTCTCCGCCTCGGCATGTCTCGGTCAGTGAAGCAGTAGCAAAAGGCTGTTGAACATGCATCTCAGACCAGCATAAGCACACATCCAGGGATGATTGTCCTGGAAAGAAAGAGGTGCTCACAATGTGAGATGTACGATGTCCTCTGCTCTCGGGGGAGGTGCCACTTGAATCCGCTTTCCCATGTTGTTGTTGTGAACAGTGCTCGAAACACAGGCACTTTGTTGTGTTGAATACATTGCGCAGTCGTGGAACTTGAGGGCGGAGCCGGGGAACGAAAGCTATGCGCCTTAGGCTGGAGGGACTCAAGAGAATGTCAGCAACATAGCGGAAAAAGAGGCGGCGTCATCACATCCCATCACAGCCAACATCCGACCGCATCAGCGACTCAACAATGGAGAGAGTAGGCTTGGCGGGGGAAGGGAAGGAGCAAGGGGGGGGGGGGGGGGGGGNNGGGGGGGGAGGAGTTGGTTTTGGTTGATAAAGCAATCATTTCGCGTTTTGGCCATCCACACCCACTGCTGTGGCAGATAGTAACGAAAGCCTCGCTACGCTTTCGTGAAATTTCCTGCTCGGGCTACTCTTGGCGGTCTCCTCGTCCTCATCTCTCGAGGAGTTGGGAAATCGGCTGGGGTCGGATGGGAAAACAACACACGCAAACACCTACACACAGACAAGGTGGATGGATATGGACGGATGGTGGCAGAACTTCATCATCTCGAGGTCGCAGCCTGTCGAGCTTCCCTTTCTGCCCGCTGCGACTGAAACGCCTTCGCACGGGCAAATCAGCTTTTGGCCACCCAAGCAGCTTGAATGGTGGGCTCCGACCATGAAACTACGCGCTTGAGCGCTCGAGATGAAGATGACACCTCCTCCTCAATCCGTCCGACTTCTGCTTCAGGATCGTATCTGTCCCAATCATGGTAGTACCTCTTGCACAGATGCAGCTAAGAATATAAGTCACAAGTCAGTGGGCAGCTGTTTTACAAGAAGCTAAGCGCTGAAGCGCACTGGGCTATCGGTGCGTTGTCGCGTTTGATCGGATCGGACCTGTCACGGGATCATGCACGAGCTGGACAGTCGAATCGTCGGCACGCACTGCGCATCGCACAAACTAGGACAGACATTGACGGGGAACATGAAGTCTACAAAGTTACTCCCGCCTTTCTCCGTCCACATGCGCGTCATTTATCTGTTCAGCTGCATCTCGCTCGGCAGGCTTTGCTGCCTTGGTTCGCCGCGACGAGAGCATATATGCCGCTGACGATTCAGTCTACAATCTCACGGGTGCCTTGGTTAAGGGGGAGGTGCTATGAGCTTCTGCGCTTCGTCGATGCCCACTTGCCGAGCCGTTTTTCGAATTTCCCTCCTGCGCTCCTCCTTGACCTGATCCTGCAAAGGTGACGTGCTGGGCATCTAACACACACCAGGGGCAGCTCCACGGGATTGGGCGCACCTCAGTCCATTTGTACAAGTCGGAGAAGAAGTCAGAGACGCTCGTTGCATTGTCCTCGGGGCCATGTTGGCAATGGTACTTCTGCACTCTGGTTGAAAGAAGCCAAGCACAAGGCCTTGATCTGCTTCTGAATTTCTATCGACATGACCTGCATCACGGATTACTTCGGAGACGAACCTGAAGCATGGATCAGAGGTTATTTCGCCTGCCTGACAAGAGGACAAAGTCAGGACTTGCCCTTCCTATTGAGCCGAGCCATGCTCTTCACAGCCACGGACCATATTGCCGACAAGAGCCTAGAATCAACTGCATGTGCATGCATGATGAGATGCTGCACATCTACCGAAGAGATAAATCCTTCACGTTTGCACCGACCCTCTGACGTAGCTGACAGAAGATCTGAAACTGGAATCTGTCCAGGCATGAAGTGTGGATGGACTGCGCTAAGTTTGGCCATGCAGCCAAGACAGCTGCGAGCCGCCAGCACAGATCCACAAAACCCAGCTAGAGTGAACAGATGGGATGTCGTCGGTGTCAGGGGGTCCCTCCCCCTCCTAGCATCTTGCCGGTGAGAACAAAGCAAGAGACCACAGGAATCGATCCAATGATGTGACATGCAGGGGGATGTTTCCGTTTCCTCTGCAAAGCGACTCGAAGGCTCTCCTGCTGCGACACCAAACCCTTCCTACACTGAGCATGGCGGCTTACGAACATGGCTTGCCAACAACTGCATCAAGCCGCACGATGGTGGTCATCCAAGCGACACTGGATGCATCCATCCTGACGTATGCACGGACGGCCCTTTGTCCCCATGACAGGCTTTGCTGCGCCCACTGACGGCAGGCAAACGACCGACTGGTAGCCACATCAGTTTGGTACCTGCAAACAAAGTCTCCTGCTTTTGGGAGACTTTGTTTGCCTGGTGAGACCTAAGACCTAAGGTGACCTAAGGAGATCAGTTCGAGGACCTGTGCAGCCACTGCCCGGGGTATGTGTCCCTGGTCTGGACCGACGACAAAGCTCAGTGGATGGCCCAACCCTGTTGAATAAAAGGCTCCTCGTTCGAACCATGCTGTCCCCTTGGCAAGTACCATAATGCGCGATGGCATTTTGGGTTCAGCCGGCTATACCTACTAACATTTGGTTCACAAGCAATGTGATTTCACGAAGCTCCGGACAAGCTTCGCTTGGTGCAATTCGCTCGTAATTGCCCATGTATTGCGGCATGTCGCCATACTTCCTCACGTCATGTTCTGCACAGTCCGCCAAGCAGCAAGACTTTGATTGTTCTCGGTGCGTGGAAGCCGACTGTCCTCGGAAGTTGCCCTTTCAGCACCGCGTGAAGGTCAATGTCCAACCTCGGCGTTAGCGTCTATTGGCGGCTGAGCGCTCTAAGCTGGCAACGCAGTCACTGAGCATTCAGATGCGGGCTGCTGCCGGCCACCCGTTGCTCCTGTCGCGGCTTTGCGCCTGGCTTCCCCAACTTAGAACTCCCATTACGAGGGAGTCAGGAGCGGCGTCAAGCAGTGGCCATCGTCTCCCGCATTTTCTATTGGGACTGCCTTTAACTCTTAGGATGCTGAATACCGTCGTGTCGTTTTGACTTCTAGAGCAATAAACTGCCGGGAAAGTTGACATGGCTCGATGGCTCGAAGAAATGAACGGATCCCAGTCCCTTTCCTGGTTCGATGGCTCGAAGAGGCCGGCGGCTCGATGGCACGTGATTGGTTTGATGGATTTTGGCGTTTTGATGTATCAATTTCAGGATGACCTGATGACCACGCTGAATGCATTGCACGCAGCGCTTCTCGCTGTTATTCATCGTGGTACCACGATGGGGTTCTTACATTCAGAGTAAAGAGATATTGGTTACTGTGACCGCTACCTCGCTGCGGGACAAATGCATGGAGAATCGTTTTGAGTCTTCCGGACATGAGCCGTTCGTGCTCTTTCATCTGCATTTGGATTTTCCAAATTGTTGGAGTTGCTGCCTTGAGAGATCCAGGCGCAAGGGGGCAGAGGAGGCGGCGGTGATGCTCTCTTCCCAACGAAGTCAGCGATGCCCGCACACCGGTCGGACCGGCTAACAATGAGTTTCTGTCACCTGTCAGCTTGACACCGGAGGTATCGTTACATTCATACATGGCAGGTCAAAGTAACTCAGAGAAAGGATTGTCCGTGCTACGCGGCATGTGCGAATGTCCTTACACTAGTCACCAGTCTAAGCCATGCCATGCACTTAATTCAGAGTCCTGACCAGAAGAACGACAAGCTTGAGTCTAGCGACATCCAGACAGTGCCGGGAACTAGCTAGACTTCCAAGTAAGGAGTGTGGCACGAGTCCCACACGAGCAGCCTCTATGTGCATGTCTACATCGTATCTTACGACACCTTGATGATTATTGTATAAATATTATATATATATATACAT